AAAAACCAACAACAAAAAAAAAAGAAGATAACCAGAGAACAGCTCTCAAATACCTGGGTACCCCAAGCACAGCCCAGCCACAAAATTCAGCAGGTCGCTCGTGCCACAGGAGGAAGGGAAGGCATTCAAATGTTAGCATTTAATTCAAAAACGTCTTTTTGAGGACTGAAATTCTTGACAAAATAATATAAAAGCCCCTGGGATTTGATTTAGAAGCTTCTTTCTGCTGAAAAATAAGATCAAAACCCACAGGACTTGAGGCAAATGCCACCCAAAATACAGCAGCTGTGGGTAACACAGAGTTGTATTTACACTGTTTGTCCTGTTGTGAGGTTGTATTCTGGTTTTTATTTATATATTTTTTATATTTATAGGTTTTTATTTTCTATGTTTGTGTTTTATTGTTTTTATTTTTATATTATGTTTTTATTTTAGCTTTGGCAGCTCACACAGGGCAGGCAACAGATACCAGCAAAGTGGGGAAAAAAAAAACAGATGAAAACAGGGAAATTAGGACTTTCCCAAAGTTTACCAGGTGAAAAATGTAAAAGTAAAGTTCTGCTAGGGGGTTGAATTTGGGGATAAAGGTGGATCAGCAGGTCTCCAAACCACACTCTTCCTCTGCCATGCACAGACTGAATGGGTATCGCTGCTTGGGAATCTTAAATAAAACAACCGGAAAAACTCACATTTTCTATCCCATTGCCAATCCTCAATATGCCACTGATAAAGTGTGGAATGTTCTGGAACAGGGAGAGAAAGGAAATAAAAATCAAGTCATTCAGAGCTGACCATTTCAGGTTCTGTCTGCTCAGGTTTAACTGAGGAGCGTTTTCTGTTCTGCAGCTGCTCTGGGTCCATTTCCAAAATTCAGGCAATATTCTTGTAATCAGCAGCAAATTTTGGTGGGAAAATAAACAGATTTTGCTGTTGGATGACACAGTGTTTTACATGGAGAAGGAGATAAAGGCTGAGGGAGTAAGAAGAGGTGCAACAACACGGGCTGGAAAAGGGTAGCTTGGGGTCGAGCACTGACTTTCCAGAAGTGAAAAAAACCCAACTGAGTCACAACTCAATTTAAAAAACCACAACCAATCTCTCCCCTTCAGCTGCTGAGAGCATTTCTTACATCCTTCTCTGCACTGGTATGTCTGTGTTTCAAGTCAGCAGTAACAGCAAGTTCAAAATGCCGTTTGTTGAACGAGAGAAAAAAAAGTGAGGGGGGGAAAATGCAAGTATTTAAGTCAGTGACTTATTGACTGCAATTACTGAGTTATCCCAATAAGGCCTAGGAAGCTTCTTCTTTCTAGAGAGCTGCAACTCAGCCATCACCCAATTTATTCACTGCAGCAAAAGGAAATGTCTCATTTCAGATGTAATCCCAAGGCACAGATTTAATTACCCTGTTCTACTCGAGAACTTACACCAAGTTGAGATCCAGTACTTACAACAACTTTTTTAATTAAATCAGCAAGGTCTTCCAAAAAATTACACTCACAGATTGTCTTCCACAGATGCCATTCCTGAAACATCAAACTGTTTAAAAGCACAAGTTATTTCTTACATAAAAACACAATAAATTTTTTTATTTAGAGAAGTAACACTGTGGTACACGGTCCTAATTGCTAATAGTTAATTAACATCCTTTTAGCATCCTAACCATTATTATTACATTGTAGAGCACATAAATATTGTATTAATATAATATAATAATAATTATATCATATAATAATATAATATATAATTAATATAATATAATAATACAATTAATCTATATGTAATATTTATTAATATAATACACAATTAGTTTTAATATAAATATTATATTAATAATGAGGGTATTATAATAATTATAATTAATGATTAAAATTATAATAATTATAATTAAAATTGGAAAGGTGGTCACTCACCCAAATTGCCCCTGGAAAGAAGTGCTTTGTTGGGTGAAGAGGAGAGGCCAAAGCATTTGGATTTTAATCACGTTGCAATATTCCCTCAATCTCTCCACAGGCTGATTGCACCAAACTTCACAGGGATCAACACCTGCAGGAGAACAGGTGGGGAGTCAGACAGGCATTGCAGGGGCGAGAAACAACTCAAAATTCAAAGTGTAATAAACACCCCCAACAATCATCTCCAGACTTTTATTCCTGAGTCCAAACCAACCCGAACAAGGAGACCAGAGCTCCAAAAATCAGGAATAATCTGTTTGGCCTCAGAGACCTTTATGTGCAGGGCTCCTTCAAAAATATAACCCATTTCCCTCAGAGCCTGCCTTGAAATTAAAAGGTAAATTAGGGTATTGGGGTGGCAGCCAGTGCTCTGAGGTAAATTAAAAGGTAAATCAGATGACTGAGGTGGCATCAAGGTGCTCTCAGAGCAGGAGCAGCATCGTCTGGGGGGTTGAATATATGGAAAAGTTAATTTTCCACAGCTGGCTGTGTCCATGGGAGCCTCCTGCACGTTCCAGGTTGTCATTTGTGCAGTGAAAACAATTTTGAAGAACTTCCCACGCTCTTGAGCCACCTGATTTTCCGCCACCACTGAAATTTTTTATTTAATTGTTGTAACTGCAAAAACTCACCTATTAAAAATAAAAATCGACTCTACAGCTAAAACACAGCTACAATTAAAACACAGGCAATGAATTCTACTTATTCAGGCAAAATAAGAGAAAAAAAATCAAAAAGGAATCAAAACCAGCATGAAAGTGCATGAAAAATTTAAGCAAATTTGTTTAGTTCACATACCTGTTTTAGGATCAGGCAGCACTGTCTGACCAAATGTTCCATGACCCTAAAGATAAACATATTTTTCTTAACATTACACAGCCAAAAAAGCAAATAAAGCAAACCAAACCAAACCAAACAGGGAACAAAAAGCATGTTTGCTGGAGTTACTTAACACAATGGTGTAGAGGCTGTTTTATGAGGGGGAAAAAAAAATGTTTACCTGCATATCCATTAAAAAAATGTCCACAGGTTAATAGTTATGAACGGACAGGAAAACCTCTATTAATTTAAACAACATTTTAAGTCCCACTAGAACAGTGTTCTAGAAATTAGTAAGTCAAAACCAGGTACTAGGCAGCAAAATAATGCTCAGGAATACCTGACTATACGTGTTTAAGAAGACAACACAGGTTTTCAAAAAAATAAGAATTAAGTTTTGACAGTGTGTGTATATTTATATAAATTCCTATATATCAAAATAAGTGGAATAGTTGATTTAGTGCCTCAGGGCAGCAGAATCTATTGGTACTTTAATAGGTTTTAAACTTATGAACCTCTTAAGCTGAAGAATAAATGACTTTGTTCTGGTTTACAGATCCCTACAAAGTCTCTTTATGTTATGAAACTTTTTTATGTGTCATTTAAAACATACAAATTATAAAATCGACACATTTGACAGGTCGGGACACTCAGCAAGAAAAGAGGAAAGGAGATGAACTCTGCTTGCAGCTCCACAGCTCCTTCCCTGCAGGGAGGAGATGATGCTGTGACATCTGAAAACCAAACCAAAACCAAAACCAAACCAAGCCACTTCCCCCTCCCTGTCCATGGAGCTCCTGGAGGTGTTCCCACCCAGGCAAACCTGGAAACCAACTTTTAGCACTTGCAGAAGATATTTAAGAGATAAAACCTTGCTTATCTTCTGCTGACACAACTCTTAAAGCCCTTGATTTTGGCAGCAGCACGTGCCCCAAACATCCTTCATTGACATAAACACATTCCAGTGGGAATCACCACTCTGGTGGGACCAGCTCCTTCCAAAGGTACAGCTTTACAAATAAATAAATTCAATTTACCCACACTTTTCACTTCTGCATGGGAAGAACTTTAGGCCAGTCGACCTGTATTTCCCAACAGCAACACAGCCTGTAAGTTATCTCCTAACTGAGCCCTCCACACAGGTTGGGCAGAGAAGCTGTGGCTGCCCCTGGATCCCTGGAAGTGTCCAAGGCCAGGTTGGATAAACTTGGAGCACCCTGGGCTGGTGGAAGGTGTCCCTGCCCAGGGCTGGGATGGCAGTGGATGAGCTTTGAGGTCCCTTCCAACCCAAACTGTTCTGTGATTCTGTGATTAAATAAGTACAAGCCTTACTGGGCATGAAGAAATGGATGCAACTGGAAGAGATGACAAGAACAAAGAAGGGGCCAACTGTGCAGCCAGGGCAGAGTTAAAATCCCACAAACCAAGGGGTGATTCCTTTGCAATGAAAGGAAGGGAATCTGTCAGGCATCAGCCCAGGGATGGTCTGGGGGCAGAGCCAACAGGTTGGGCGAGTTCTGCTGACAGGATCTACACATCACTGCCTGCTGTGACAGCTGTACACACACAGAGCCACCCAAACCTGCCTGACAGAGGACAAAGAGACTCTGTTCTCCCCCAGCTCAGTGCCTCTGCAAGTGAATAATGCACATGGCAGAAGTTACTTTTGCCTCAGTTTCAATTAAACAACACCAGGAAGTGCTCTGCAGATCAGATCACAGAATCACAGAACGGTTTGGGTTGGAAGGGACCTTAAAGCTCATCCAGTGCCACCTCCTGCCATGGGCAGGGACACCTTCCACCAGCCCAGGGTGCTCCAAGCCCCGTCCAACCTGGCCTGGGACACTTCCAGGGATCCAGGGGCAGTCACAGCTTCTCTGGGCAACCTGTGCCAGGGCCAGATTTGAGTGTAAACTCCCCTGGAACATCCTGCAAGTTTTCCACCCAGTTTCAAACCCACTCACCAGCTCTAGGTAAGGTGAATCCACACGGTAGAGAGCCAGGGTTGCCAGGTCGGGTATGGACCAGGGATCAGCCATGGCACAGCACCCTGGAAGAGAAGGATGGTGAGGAACACACGGGGGAAGGCAAGAGGAAAACAACCAGCGCTTCGCGGCACTTCAAACGATCACAGCGAATCACGCTTTGCCGGGGTTTCATGGAGGAAACGCGGATCTTCCACAGCACAGGTTAATGCTGAAAACAGCCACCTAAAGCACCAGCTAAGAGCTTGTTATGTCAGGTAACTCATTGTTCTACCCCTCCGGCAGGACGCCTGGCAGGGCGCAGGGTCAGGGTTCGCATCATCCCCGGAATCGCCGCCGCATCCCGGGATGCCGAACACGCCGGGACAGCCCCGGCCCCGCCCCGCCCGTCACCAGCCCTCCGCTGGCCGCTGACGTGTCTCCCCCGGCCGGCACCACCCCGCCCGGAGCTCCAAGGGACAGGCAGTGACCTGGGAAAGGCTCCGCGGTGGATCCCGGGCGGGCCGGGGGACAGCGGGCTGCGAGCGCCGGGCGGGGCAGGGCGGGGCGAGGCGAGCTCCCACCGCTCCCTCCATCTCCGTACGGCCCCCTCCACCCCTGTACGGCCCCCTCCATCCCTGTATCGGCCCCCGTCCATGCCCGTATCCCATCCCGGTATCCCATCCCTGTATCCCATCCCATCCCATTCCTCACCTCCCGCTCCGCTCCGGCCCCCGCGGCCCCGGACGCGCCTCTCGCCCCGCCCCGCCCCCGGCGCGAGCCCCGCCGGACGCGCCGCCCATTGGCCCGCCGCCCCGTGACGTCACGGGGCGCCGGCCAACCTGCGGGCCGTGCGCCTGCGCGCGCGCGCGCGGGGGCGGGGAAGGTGCGGGGGAGAGGGGGGCGGGAAGGGATGGGAGTGGGAATGGGATGGAATGGGATTGGATTTTCCATCATCATCCGTCCTCTTCTTCGTCCTCTCTCCTCCTCTTCCTTCTCCTGCCGCCCTAGGGGCTTGTTTTCCCTCCCTGGACACGCTCCGGAGAGGAAGGAGGCGCAGCCGGGCGGGGGGAGCTGCGGGCGGGCGGTGCGTGGGGAGGAAGGAAGGAAGGAAGGGAGGAGGAGGGAGGAGGGAGGGAAGAAGGAAGGGAGGGAGGAAGGGAAGGGAGAAGGGAAGGAGGGAGGGAGTATCCCCTTCACCCAGGGCTCAGGAAGGAATATCCCTTCATCCAGGGCTCAGGAGGGAGTATCCCCTTAATCCGGGGCTCAGGAGGGAGTATTCCCTTCACCCGGGGTTCAGCAGAGAGTATCCCCTTAATCCGGGGCTCAGGAGGGAGTATCCCCCCACCCGTGGGTGTGGGTAGCTGGGCGCGCCCCCTCGTTCCCAGAGGAACTTCCCGGGAAACCTCTTGAGCATCTTCCTAACCCCGCTCTTCGCCCTCCCCGCGAGGGTGAAAGGGAGGACACCGGGATGGTTGAGAACTCGCCGGCCCCGCTGCCAGAAAGGGCGATCTACGGATTTGCCCTTTTTCTAGGATCGTGGTTTGGCTTCAGTGAGTATCCCGGCAACCGAGACGCCCAAAAACGCTGCTTTGCTTAGGAGGCAGACGTTATTCCCGGCTGGAACACCTTTCCCAGAGAAGCCGTGGCTGCCCCTGGATCCCTGGGAGTGTCCCAGGCCAGGCTGGACAGGGCCTTGGAGCAACCTGGGCTGGTGGAAAAAATAAATAAGAAAATACAGGAAAAAGAAAGTTGATTTGGTGAACGGCCCTGGGATTTAATTTGGGTTATGGCAGCATTTCTCTGCTGCTGTGACAGGTTCTTCAGCGTTTCACTGGGCATGTCTCAGGTGCCAACACACAGGCCCAGGGTTTTTGTGATGCTCAGAGCACTTTTTCAGCACAAGAAAAGGTGTTGCAAACACCCTGTGGGCAAATAATGTAACCTGAAATGACCAAATGCTGCTCCAAGTCTTTCTGGCTCCGAGGCAGCAGCTGGAAAGGGAAGTGAGTTGGTTTCTGTTCCTCTCACAGGAAGCCCCCGTGGCTTTTTATTTTGGCTCCTGTGCTGCTCTCCTCGAGCTTGCTGGTGTTGTGGAGCAACATTTCTGGGTGTTGGTTTTGCTGATGTGGAAATGATGAGCTGGCCAAGAACCAGAAAGTACCTCCAGTGGCTTTTTCACGAGTTCCATCCTGGCACTGCAGCTCCACAGCTTTCCCTCCAACCACGTGATCTTTTCTGCTTTATTTTCATCTCCATTCAGATTCTTTTGGCCTCTTTTACAGAGGTTTTGGCTTTGTTGGGTTGATTTTTTTTGTGTTCTGCAGCTCAGCTCAGAATAAATTTTTGTCTGTCCCCGTGGGGAAATCAGCAATTAAATGTGAAAGCAAATATAAAAATGATCCCAAATAACCCAGCTGCAAAACTTTGCCCCTTTACTGGGCGGGTTGGGTGTCTGTGTTTTGTTATGCAGTGTTTTTGGTAAAGCTGTTCTGGTTTAAGTGGTGTAAAAGTGAAAGTTAGGAAGTCTAAACCAGCATCAGTCTTAACTATTGTGGCTTTTTAATTCCCCTGTGCAGTTTTATATCTCATCTGGGCATATATTCCTGAGACTTGGCTCTTCTCCTTGGGACTGACATACTGGCCTCAAAAGTAAGTTCTTAACCTAAATATGTGTAACTCTGAGACACCCTTAATTATTTTAAAATTAAAAAGCTTTTTTTTTTTTTTTTTAATAGCAGCCTTGTATTGAATCAATTTTTTCCCTCATGATAAAGGCCTGTAATTTTTGTAAAGCTTTTTTTTTTTATGTAGGTAGCAGGTGTGGTGAAAGCTTCTCGTTGTGCAGTGAAATAAATAACATTTGCGTTTTTTATGAGAAATTTGATGTTTTGTTTTCAGGAAATTTGCTGACGAAAATATAGTAAATTTATTATCACGATATGTTAAATTTTGAAATCTTTTCCCCCAGGTACTGGGCAGTTGCTTTGCCAGTTTACCTCCTGGTTGCTGTAGGAATTGGTTATATATTGCTTTTTGGGATTAACATGATGAGCACAGCTCCACTCGACTCCACACACACCATCACAGGTAACTTTATTGGGCTTTGATTTAAGATTTTGTGATGCTTAGCTGGTGGTTCCTGTAAATCTTTATATGCAGCCCTATAGAATATAAACCAAATTTTAAGCCTTTAAATGTTTGAGCTCTTGGAAGTACCGAAGTGTTGGAGTGAAAGAATTAAAAAAGTAGCTAAATTTACACAGTGTTCCAATGTGGAGCACCTCTTTTCTTTCCAGAGCTTTGGATATCTGAAATGTTCCCGTTGATTTTTGCAGATAACTACGCAAAAAAGCAGCAGCAGAAGAAATTCCAGGAGGAAGCAATTCCAGCACTGAGGGATATTCCCATCAGTGAAGTGAACAGGATGTTTTTCCTCCCTGAAAAAGGAATCTGCAATAGCAGATAGTCAGTACCGAGGTTTGTTTGAGCAAAGGATTAGTGGAAATGTTGCACAAGGACAGTCAAAACCTCTCCAAGCTAACAAAAAAAAAAATACTCTTTCAGCTTGGAGAACAAAGGTTTTATGGGTTTTTTTCCCCTAACTAAATTTATATTAACAAATTTATTTACCTTCACAACCTGCCTTGGTATGAGAATTACACCACATTAATTTACCAAGCCATTCTTGGGAGCTTAAAATGTCCTGTAACTTGTCTTTTCCCTCTGAGAGGGAAAGAAACACCTTAGTTTAATTCTATTTCCATAGTTTAATTCTATTTCCCCTTAAATTCAGGGAGGAAAAAAAGCTTTTGCTGGTCAAGTGTCGAGGATCTATTTTTTATTAAGTTAATTGGAACTGTTTACATTGTAAATAGAAAGCTTTGCTTTGTAAATATTAATAAAGTGTAGCTCGTTTTTAGGTGTTTGAGCTCACCATTTTTTCTGTGGTTCTGTGTTAATTCTCCTGGGTAAAGGTCCATTTTTCTTCACACAATTCTTTATTCAGTAAAATACATTGATCCCCCCTCCCAAAATTGGCAGGATTATTGAATTACCAGGAATACCAGAAGTAAGAAAGTTGGGCTGTGAAGATTTTCTGAAATGAGTCTTGAAGTTAACTTTTTTTTTAAACATTTTTAAGAATACTGAAAACCTGGTTCAAGGAAATATCTGTAAATACAGGAACTGGCAGGCCCATCTTATTACAGCCCGAGGTTATAACACAAAGCACAATGAGTTGTTGTTAGGGGTGTGGTTCAGATGTTTCTTAAAACAGTGAATTTTCCTTTATTTTTTCCTTTAGAGAGCCACAAATCCAGTTATTTTCAGGTGTCAGGGTTATTTAGATTGGTTATAAAGACCAGAGAATAGGCTATTATTGTTTATTAGGCTTTATAATGTTCATAAACCAACTTCAGAGCAGAGAGAATTTAGTTAAGAACTTGAGCTATTTCATTAAAAGATAGGAAATTTTTGAAAGTTTGTGTGGAAAATCTTGTGCCAGCTCTTTAGAAATCAGGCAAAATGACCATCAGTTGATGGTCTGGAAAGTCTCAAGACCTGCTGACAATCATTTGGGTATAAATATAAATACAAATATAAATATAAATTTGGGTATAAATATAAATACAAAACCTGTAGTTGGTTGGGTTTTCTACCTGCTTTTGAAGAAAAAAACCTCTGTGTTGAGTATTATGTGTAGGAGAAAAATACCTCCTTAATGAAAGAAAAAGTGCTTTTTCAACATTTTGCTCTGAAATGAGATTAGATATTTGATATATTGTTGGGGGGAACTCCTTAAGAATATTTGTAGCTCGGCCTGGTGGCTGTAAATCTGTGCAGTGTCGATTTGTTTGGGAGTTGTAGAACTTCCTCAGTGAAGTTTTGGGGTTTAGTTTGCTGTTGTCTCCCACTCCTGCCACGATTTTTGTCCTTTAATTACATTTTACTTTGCATGCTCAGACACCCGTGGGTAGAATGAGTTCAAGATTTTGTGATCAGCGGCCACAAAGATGCATTTGCTCTTTTGTCACTTCTCTGATCGCATCGTGGACATTGAAGTATTGACTGTAACCTTTTTTTTTATTTATTTATTTTTATTTAATGTGTTCCACCTTCCTTTTGCTTTGTGAGAGAGCAATTTCATTTGGAATCCTGGACTGACACCAGCTGAAGGCCACGTTCCCGGTGTCATCTGATGTGGGGATTAATTCAGTCCCTCGCTAAGGAGGCCCAAATCCCTTCAGGGATCAAGCAGAGCTGCTGGAAAATGCCCTCGAAGCCCTGAAAGCACACAAATTAAAGGGCTGTAAACCTTGGGCAAAGATTGGATCAGTGATGAATCTGCCATTTCCTTTCACTGCAGACCCCCCCCCAATTATGGGAAAACCAACAGAGTGAGGAGGGAGAAGGGGGGCTTTTGTTTAAGTAAAACTTGCAGGGGGCGAAACTCAATCTTCGCTTTTCTGTCACTGGTGCTTCAAAGGCACCCCAGGTGACCTTTCCTTCAACCTGGGGGCTGTTTGACACTTCAGGGATCAAAATAAAACCAGGAACGTGGCGTTTGTGGGCTCGTAAATGCCTCGTGGGGAGTTGCAGGTGGTGGGGATCCATCGTTTCGTTGGTGGGGGGTCTGCAAGTCTTGGCTAGAATGGTGATGAAGGAGAAGATGCAACTCTGCCAGCAAAGAGGAGAGAGATTTTTGTAAATATACACCTATTTATACAGATTTTGCCTTAGATACTCAGAATAAAAACAAAAACCTGGAATGATTGAACAGTGTCGCTGGCAGGGCCTTTCTTTACAAAACATACCTGTTCAAAGGCTGGATATCAGGTGTCCATCCATTCTTCTCCCACACAGAGGGAGAACTAAATAAATAAAGGCAACAAACCTAAATTTGCCCTCGATTTCACCCTCCTGACCTCGCTGCTGTAGCACAACTAAATAAGAGCCCAATCCTTGTCCCTGCTGGGATAAACCAAGTGATGAAACCTCAGCCTTGCTTTTTAAATGCACCTTTTAGGATTCTTCTGCAGTTTTTTTGCCCTGTTGGAGGCTGAGGGTATTTTACACATCTTGCTGTAAAACTTCATCTGGTAGGACAGGGATTGGAATGGAAGTGTGTGGAAACATGTCCTGGGAAAATAGCAGAGGTGCCTGGATTCCAGTGGAATGGGGGTGTGCCCTTGGAAATAAGGGAGCTGGGCTTGCCAAATTTGTGTGAAGGTGGTGGAGCATCTGTCTCCTTCCATCTTAGCTGGAAAGGGAAGGGAGTAACAACGTGGAGAGAGGCTTTTTCCAAGGGATTGGAGTGACAGGACACAGGGAATGGCTTCAAACTGCCAGAGGGCAGGGTTAGATGGGATATTGGGAAGGAATTCCTGGCTGGGAGGGTGGGCAGGCCCTGGCACAGGTTGCCCAGAGAAGCTGTGGCTGCCCCTGGATCCCTGGAAGTGTCCAAGGCCAGGTTGGATGGGGCTTGGAGCACCCTGGGCTGGTGGAAGGTGTCCCTGCCCATGGCAGGGGATGGAACTGGATCATCTTTAAGGTCCCTTCCCACCCAAACCATTCCATGATTCTCCTTGAGTTATCCAGGTGTGGACTTTGGCTGTTACCTAAAGCATTGTACACACCATTCCAAAATTATTTTGAGCACACAAGGAACGCTGTCAGCTCGATTGGATCATCTTCAGAACAACCACTGTTTGTGACTGGAGCTAAAATGTGAGCAACATTCTAGTCTGGATTTTGTTGTGGCAAAGGTTGAGATGTGAGTAGGGACAATCAGAGGCTCTCACAGTAAACTGAAAGCTGTAAGAATAAATGTTTATCCTGGTACACATCTGTGCTAGGTGGTCTAAATATATATATATATATATAAATAACATTAAAAATGCAACTTTACCACCAATGGCAAATGAAGTGTGTCCGAGGGAAGATGTTGGTAAAGTAATACTGACATTCTTTTTTAGTGGGCCTTTAGATTCTGTAAGTTAAATCAGGCAAAGTTGGGCTTAAAAGGTCCTTTAATGAAGAGATTATAGCTGTAGAATTAGTGAATGTTTAATCTCTGAGAAAACTGAAATATGAGAATGGAGGTCGGGGTGAGACAATCCAAATAGTCACAGAACCACCTTCAGGATCATCCAGTGCCACCTCACCCAGCACCACCAGGATCACCCCTAATCCACATCCCCAAGGGCCACATCCAGACACCTCTGGGACACTCCCACACACAGGGACTCCACCACCTCCCTGGGACACTTCTTGCAAGGCCTGACCACTCCTGCAGGGAGAAATTGTTTCTGATCTCTGCTCTGACCCTGCCCTGGGGCACTTTGAGGCCATTCCCTCTCCTCCTTTCCCTTGAGAGGTGGCAGACCCTGACAATCCCCCCCCCCCTCCATCCTCTTTTCAGGAGTTCTTCTTTTGAAAAAAAAAAAAAAAAATTCAAATACTTGATTTTATTACCAGGCAGTTTCTGTGTCATTTGTGAGTGCAAATAAATGATCGAGTATTTCTGCCTTACAAACAGAAGAGTTGGTTGGGGATTTTGTGTAAATACATTTTGTCCCACAATGCACCTTTTTTTCCACGGGCACTTGAGTCTGAGTCACTGAAATGCTCAATGCAGAGTCTGCAGCTTTCAAACAGCTGAGATGAATGGGGGGGTTTTGTATCTCTCTATTCATGAATTGAAATGTTTCCTGAGGAGAAAGTTTTGGAAGGGTTCAGTTTTGTTCTGCCAGTTCCCTGACGGGGAAGTTGCCAAAGTAAATCTTGGGGGGTGTGCTCTGCAGTTCATGGATCAGCTGAATTCCCAGCCCTCTGCTGAAAGCAGCTGATAGAATTAACCCAGCCTGGAAATCGTGATTCTGTGGAGTGTAATTAAATAGCAAGTGTTTCGGTGAATTGGATGGGTTTTGTCATCTCTGGAGCTCATTAAACTGTTATAGGGAATGCTGCCTCTTCTCAGCTCTGCTGCTCTTGTCAGTCAGTGTGAATGTAGCCTGGAAAAGAAATTCCTGTGGCAGTTTTTGTTCCCTCTTAATCCAAATTATTGCTGCACTGTAGTTAGGAAGAACAGTCAGCAAACTTCTGGATATGCTTTCCTTGGATTTATGTGGCCTTTAGCTCAAAAGACCTTGGACAAAGAATCCAGGACTGTCTCATGAACACAAACCCTAATTATGATTTTTCACATGCAGACATGCAATCAAAATATCAAATTATTGTGTGGATACCTCTCCAGCGTTCCTGTACCAGTGGAACATTAATTGCCCTTTTCCTGCCATCATTTTAGGGAGTGGGAATCAAAAGGAGCGTTTTCCTGGAAAAGCTGCAGCTGTTGGAATTCCCAAGGGCAGTTTCATGGCGCCAACAATTTAATCTGTGAAATGCTGTCTCTAGGCCCGTGTTTGAAGTAGCAAAGTCGTGATAAATTCCTTATTTGGGGCGGCTTTGTTGTCTTTTTTCCTCCTGTAAATGACGGATGGTTCGAGGGCCGCCGTGAACTTTGCGGATGAGGCAGCAAATCGGAACTGGAAACTGGGAGTTCACGGCAGCTGAATCACAAAGATGCTACATTAGTTCATTTTGGGGCTTCTCTCAATTATTGACAGGCTGGTTAGGGATCACAGAGCACTTTGTGTGCGTGGGATGTGTCATCACAGACCTGTAAAGTCATCTCCGATGACTTTACAGGTCTGTGATGACACATCCCACGCACACAAAATGGCTTTTCTGTTTCTTTTGGCTACAGACTGAACGATGAGGGCATCAATAATTTCAGGGTGTCTTGTGAGAGACCTTTCAAATGCCTGTGTTTTGGTTCCACGTGCCTGGAAGAGGAGATGTGGGAATGATGAAGGTGTAAAAGCTGAGTTTCCACGTTGGATTTAAACTTCGGGGTTTAAAATTCATCTCGTTCTTGTCATTCCCTATATCACAGTTTGCTGGCCCCTTGTGAAAATTTAATTAATAGGCTCTTCTTTTTAGTTTGCAAACGGAGATTTGAAAAGAAAACCTCCTTCCTTTTAGTGCAATTAATTTATTTGGAGTCCTAATTAGCCAGATTTTGTTTGCCAGGACGTCACCGAGGGGAAGATCTGACACACAAACTTCAGGTGGTTCTTAAAACTTCCAGAAAAGGTCAAGGATCTGGAATTCTGCCTTTTCCTGCTCTCTGGGGAATCCAGGCTAGTTTTGGTTGGGGATAAGAGGCACGAAGGATAAAAAAATTTCAAACGTGGTGGGGCCAAATAATTAATCCTCGAGCTAATTAAAAACTGCTGGCAGCAAAGCAAGTGCTGACAAACTCTCTGAGCACACACAGTAGGATGGTGAGAGAAAAAAAGTACCACATTACGTGTGTTTTAATGTGTCACTAAATGAAATCATGGTTGTTAATCGAGTCCTTTTTTTTTTCTGACTGGCAAAAGACACTTTTCTGATTACAGGGGGGGGGAAAAATCTGGTAATAACAGAATGGCAGCAGAACCCCAGAAAATATTGCAACTTTAGTTTAGGACTTGTCTTGACAGTGGGTTGTACTGGAAATGGGTTATTTCAATTGGGCACTCAGGATTTATATCAGAATAAAAATGCCCCATGGAGCTAACGAGCCACAGTCTTTGCATTTTAAATAATTTCTTGCTCAAATTTCCTCGTGTTTCAAAGCCTTTGGGTTATTTTTGGGGCTGTGCATTACATTATTCAGTCTCCCAATCAATCCAATTTTCACTTTATCAAGGCTGCAATGTAAAAAAAAAAGAGTAACTAAGTCCTTTACCTGTGTTGCTCAAACCAACTTGCTTTATAAAGCTCATAATCTTTTGTTCAGCTTCAGGGCTTTATTTAAAAGTCTCTCCCAACACAAAAGGATTTCCTCTCATTTCCCAGCTCCATTGACTCATTCTCCTTGGTAAGATGGTTATAAATAGTTTTATTTTGAGCTTTGATGTATTTCTCTCTTTGGTCAGATGTATTTCTTTGGTCAGATGTATTTGTGCCTGTATTTCTGACAGTTCTTCTTTTTTTTTTTTTTTTTTTAGCTCTGGAATTTTTAAGGTTGATTTTGTGTTTCCTCAAGGCTGTTCTTTATTAGGCTGAGCTCATTTCTTCTTCCTCAGAGTTGGCATCATCATTGTAGAAGTGAATTGTAGCTTGTACTGGAAAACTGGCCAGAACCTTCTCTCCCATGTTAGTAAGAAACTTTTGGGATTTGGACTTGGGCAAATAAAGTCTAATAAGGAGAAAAAAAAATATATTTTAATAGAAAAAAATAAAACAACAAACTCTGTGACATTTGTCCATCCAAGCTAGCTGGAATATTAAAACTGGTTTTCTGGAAATGAATTCATTCATTCTGGAGTTAAGATTAGGATGCCAGGGTTAGATTGGGGCTGGGTGCTTGTAAAGAAGGGGGATGTTCTATTAATTTTCCCCCAATCAGGAGTTTCTACATCACTAAGCCTTAAAAGAATCCAAAATGTTGGTGAGCTCGTTATCATATCAATAAATGTAAATATAAATTAGATGAGGCAGAAAAACGTTGGGTTTTTTTTTAAGATTAATTTTTCCTTATTTTTGCGTTGTTTCAGGGTCTGTTCAGCCTCGGCATCTTTCCTCGTGGAGGGATAAAAATTAATGATATAATTAATAATTTATTTAGTTAGTTATTTTTAATTAATTAATTAATTAAACTGCATTACTAAAAAGAGATATTCCAGAGGCAAAGGGATTCTTCTGCTGACAAGGAATATGTCTCATGTTGGAAGGTGTCACTTTTCCTGGGTCAAGTGACAGGATTTAACTCACCTCACTGGGTGTTGAAACCCCAGGGCTCCCTTTGATCTGCAGTTCATCAGTTGACCATCCAGTTCTGACTGTAAAGAGATATTAATTATTTAGTATATATATATTTATTATTTAGAATAGGCTAAAAATGAAGATTTCACTTATTTTCTTCTGTAAAATTCCCCACTAAAGTTCATTTCTCTGCTCAGCTCCACCTTGCTTTCCTCTGACTGAGTGGACTTTGGAGAATTTATGTGCCAAAAGTTGCACATTTACCAAACTTTGTCCATTTTAGGAGCCCCAAAGCCAGGGAAATGTACATTTTCCTTTAGTTCTTGGGGGTTATCTGTAGAGAGCTGATAACACCACCAAAAGGGAGTTCAGTGAGGGGAAGAAAATGGGATTTTCAGTCAGTGTAAGGATTGGGTTTTCCTGGCTGTGTAATACTGAGTTGCCAGCTGGGGTTAAACCCCAACAGGGTTTTAAAAAATACCTCTTTACCAGCACTAATCAGAAGCTTGATTGGAATCAGAGATCACAAAAAGCACATTAAGAGCCCAAACAGCAGAATCAAGACCCAACCGAAAAGCTCCTTTCACATTTACATTAAAATTAATCTTTTGTATCTTTATTTACCTGTAGTTTCTATTGTTTTCTCTTTGGAATACATATTATTTTGAAATAATTTTGTAAATATTGATTAAGCACACACTATGTACTTTTTCTTTTCAGACTGTCAGACAACATTTTTGAAAAGCAACTCTGAGAAAAGCCAATTAATTGGAAAATCTAACTCAGTTTGTACACAGCAGAAAATGTTCACTCTTAATTTATATTTTATTGTAGATAGGGCAACAGTAACTTTAAATTAAAGAATCACAGAATAGTTTGAGTTGGAAGGGACCTGAAAGTTCCTAAAAGGGACCTGTAAATTCCTAAATTGTTGTTTGAGGGTTTTTGGGTTTTTTTAACTACACAGAAGATGTTGAAACTTGAATTTGCTTTCCTCTCCAGGGTTTGGAGCATCCCCTTTTGAGCTGGTTGGATAAAATTTTCAGCAAAAACAAAATGTCAGTAAGAAATCACCATTTCCCTGCTGTCAGATGTAGTTTCTTGAAATCATCACTGTGAGAGTGAGAATTCCCACAAGAATGAGACGTCAGGACCTGTGTTGGTTTGTGCTTAATTCTCTTGTTTTTGTTCTTGGAGCCCAACAAATCTTCCCACCCGAGGGAGTAAAACAATCACGGTGCATCTCAAAGGCAGCAAGAGTTACTTTAAAATTCGATTTTCTGTTCTTTTCCTGGGTGGTTTAGCTCCAGCAACATCCTTCACCCCCTCCCAAAAAAAAACAAAAACAAAACCAAAAAACCCAATAAATAAAATTGTACACCTGAAAGTATGATTTTTACATTTCAGATTAAAATAATTTTCACTCCATCTAAATACAAAGTATCACATCCAGACTAGGCCTGGAGATTTCAAAATGAGGATTTTTATATATATATATAAAATATATATATAAAATATATATATAATATCATATTTGCTTATTTTTATATATATATAAATAATCAAATATGATATTATATATCATATATATCATATATTTTTATATATATTATATATAGATATACATTTAACATATATATAATATATATAATATATATCATGCTCCACACAACCCTTATTTTAACAGCAGTTCATATTTGCTTATTTTATATATATACAATATTATATAATAGATAATATAATACATATAGGATATATAGATATATATTTAACATATATAGAGATATATATTTAACATATATAATATGTATAATATATATATCATATATATAGGATATATATGATATGTGTTATATATGATATATATAATATAATATTTTATATATATAATAAGCAAATATATAATAGATAATATAATACATATATGATATATATTATATATATGATATATATAAAATAAGCAAATATATAATAGATAATATAATATATATATTATATATGTTTAACATATATAGATATATATTTAACATATATAATATATATAATATATCTATCATATATATATGATATATATGATGTGTTATATATGATATATATATAATTATATATTATATAATATTTATATATATATATAATAAGCAAATATGAACTGCTGTTAAAATAAGGGTTGTGTGGAGTAAGCAAATGTTTCTGCAGCTCTTTAAGAGCTGGGAGTGATTCTATACCTGACACAAAATTAGAGATACTCCCAACCATCCCCACGTCCAGGGCTGGGTCATTTGAGCTGCATTTTTTAAACCTAAAGAAATGCTGGAAAGAACAAAGGAAGAAATGACCGAGTCTGGCTCCCCGTGTGCAATCCCTGCACGTGTTTTCCAGAGGGATTATTTGCTCCCGAATTTGGCCTCACCTTTTTTTGGTTCTCTGGGGTCTCCCCATCCCTCGCCGTGAGTGTCCAGGGCCTCCACAAAGCAGGGCTGCTGCAAAGTTAGGATACCAAAAATCATGGAATATCCCGAGCTGGAAGGGACCCCCAGCATCAGCCAGTCCGACTGCACAGCCCCAACAATCTCACCACGTCCCTGAAGGCGTTTTGGGTTGGTAAATCTGATTTTTAGGGCAGTCTTTGTCTTCCGCCTACCAAGCGATTAAACGAACCACACGATTTCTTGCCAATTTTCCCCCCAAAATCTCCTTTTCCCTTCAGGATTTCCCAGCTCCAAGTGGCTGCAGTGAACTAAAAATGAACTAGATAATGCTGAAATCTTTTTATTTCAAAAGAAAAACTACCCCTCCCTCCCTCCCTCTCTGAGGAGGTGTCTGAATACACATTCCATGTTGTCATTGAGAGGCTGGTTATTTATGGAGTCAGCAATTCCAGAATTAATCTGATAGAATCCAGAATTAATCTCATCTAATTAGCCCAAGAGAGCACATGGAGTGGTGGGTGCTGCATCTGCCTTTTGTTTGGGGGTGGGGGGGGGGGAGATGCTCTTTTCCACACTGTTTTCCATCTCTGCTGCTGTGCAGGATCCAGCTGGGGAGATGGAAAAGTGCTATAAAAGGTAAAAACACCCTAAAAATAATAATAATTTTCATTTTTATAATAAAAATTCTAAATTTTAGATATATTTAGATATAGTAAAATAAAAATTTGATAATAAATAATTTTAAAAATCAGTGATCACAGCATTAATTTTAAGTAACATCTGATAAAGTATCAGGGAAAAAAAAAAACAAACAACAAAATAAGCATAGAAAATGATTCCTACAGTTGGATTTTCCCAAGGAACGCTGCTGGAAAAGCCTCCCTGCGCCTTCCTTACCTGTCCCGCTGCTCCCCCAGCCGAGGCAGGTGCTGCTGGAGCCGCCAGGAGCGCCGGGAATGGGGATGGGAATGGACGCGTCCCGCTGGATCCCGGAGCGGGAGGCTCGTGGCTGCACTTTCCATGGCCTTTGGATGCTCTCTAAAGGTTGGGCTTTCAGCCCCTCCTTTATCTGAGCTCCCACTCACCTAAAACAAACACGGCCTCGGGGAAAAGGAGGGAAAAGTCCTTAATGAGTTTGTTTTTGGTTTTTTTTTTTACTCCCCTAAACAGTTCAAAGGTAGGATGGGCTCCTACTTTGGCTGTCCCAGGAGGGCACTCCCAGGAAAACAAGAGGCTTTTTTTTTGTTAGCAAATCCCATGGGATGTCATGCCCTTTATCTTTCTGTTGCTGCGTTTGCTCTGTGAGAAATATATGATGTAATAAATGATGTAAATACACTTTTTGCATGAGCTTGGAAAAGCTCCTGTCCTAAAAAAAAAAAAAAAAGAGAGATGTAAAGAGAATTTTAAATGTAAAATAATTTTTTTAGTGGCTGAAGTATTTTTCATGTCCTGGCTTTAAAAAAGAAAAAAAAAAAACAACAATAAAAATAGTGAAAGTGAGAGGATTTAAAGACAGGCCCTCAGGACTGCAGGGATGTTCCTTTGATTACATTCCTATTTGATGGGTGGAGAAAGACTATGCCAAGGATTGCACTGTCAACAAAAAATAAGGGTTATGAGTGGCATTGCTTTGAGGAATCTTTTATTTCAAAGGATATAATAGAGAATCACAGAATGCTTTGGGTTGGAAGGGACCTTAAAGATCATCCAGTGCCACCCCTGCCATGGGCAGGGACACCTTCCACCAGCCCAGGGTGCTCCAAGCCCCATCCAACCTGGCCTTGGACACTTCCAGGGATCCAGGGGCAGCCACAGCTTCTCTGCCCAACCTGTGCCAGGGCCTGCCTCACCCTCCCAGGCAGGAATTCCCTCCTAATATTTTATTTTTTTCTTCCTATATATGCTTTAAGACTGAATAGAAATCAACTTGGTTTCTAACGTGAACTTTCCAGAGAGGGAAAAATAATTTCCTTCACTGAGCATGGAGTGCTCGTTGATTATTTATCATGAATTAGGTACCTTCTGTCTAAGTCTACTCCCAACTACATTTAAAGGCTGTGTGATATCTGTGAAGTTATAACTAAGTAAATAGCACTGTGACTCAAAGAAAAGAAAATCTGTGCACAGTCTCAATCACTTTAAATATTCATGGATGTTGCATTAGAGTTTTTGATACTTTAATTTTTGTAAATTTTAGAAGTAGTTGTGTAGATTTTAACGGAGCTGCATTGTATCCCTTCCCCCTTAACACAGCAGTTACACACAGCCAAGCCAAGCCATTCCCATATCCATCCCCTAAATTCCAGTAGTGTTGTTTAGTCTCATTTTCAGGGTAGGATGGTAGGGAACAGCCTAAAATCTGCTCAAGCAGATACAGACACAGACACAACAACCTCCAGGCCCAGAGCTTTGGGAAGCCTCCAAGGACTGCACGTGCTCTGAGGAAGATGAAGAGGAGGAAGAGGGGGTCCCAACACTCCCCCAGCCTCAATTCCCAAGAGGAGTGTCGGGGGGCAGAGCCAGGGGGATGGCTGGATGGGGATTGGGTGGGAATCATGATAAAATTTGTAACACCTGTGTTCCTGGAGCCTCATTAAACCCTCTGCTGCTTATCTGACCTCCTGCCTAATTGGGCCTGGAGTCTTTTTTTCCTCTGCAGCCTTTTAGGCATCAGTTTGGTTGGCCCTGTATGGGGAAATTGGGACCTGTGGCTCCTCTGGATCAGGACATACCACTCTGCAGGGAATTCTTCCTTTCCCAGCATATTTTGGAGAATTTCCTCATGATCTGGAGAAGCCCAGCTCCTCGGAACCACATACAGGGGTAAGATAAGGAGCAGCTCGAGGTACTTTTGTCAGCAGCTGCAAAGGGTTGTTTTGGTTTTTTCCCAGAAATAGGGAATACGGGGGGACTGGGAAGGGAAACTTGGACTTGGGCCCAAAGTTGCAGGAGGGACTGTCCGTGAGGCTTCGGTAAAGGCAGGCAGAGGGTGGTAACTCAAGGGTTTTGAGTTGGCTGTGGAAGGGACGCCTCTCCCATGTGTTAAGATGCTCTAGTTCTGGTCTGAAGCCAGTGGTGGCACCTGGGGAAGGAGTTAGCACGGCATTCCTGAGGCTGTGAGCTCTAATTCTGAGTTGGTTGAGTTTTTTCCTCTCTGTTACTTGTCATCATGGGTTGTGTGCAGTCCAAGGAGAAAATCCCCAAAGGGTCTCCTTTGGCTTTAGTTTTACAGCATTGGGACCATTTAGCTGGCCCTGAAACGTCTTTGAAAAAGCAGGATTTATGTCGGCTGTCTATGAATATCTGGCCTTTGAGGAGCAGACTCGGAGGGGAAGCTTGGCCAAAGTTTGGCTCTTTTGATAAAAATTCTGTGCTGCGGCTTATCGCGATCCTTCATAAGGAGAAGCTCTGGAGTGAGCTACAGTATGCAGAATTGTTTTTGTTTCTTTTAACCCGTCTGGAATGGGGCAGGGAGCGTAAAACTGATAAAGTTCTGGTGGAGGCAGAGCTTTCAGAGGTGTCTTTAGAGGAGAGAAAAAGGAAAGGCGATCCTATCGGTCAAACTTATATTGAAAGCGAAGAACTTATGCCAAGAGAGGAGAATTTAGGTCTCCTAATTCCCCCAGATGTGAGAGGGTCTAACCCCGGAGCCGCCCTGGCTCCGACCGCAGGGGCCGTGGCCGTGGGTGCATCAGGCGCTGGGGTCGCCCCCGGGGCGGGACCGGCTGTGTCGGGGGTGCCAGGGCTGCCAACCCCGGTCGTGTCGGGGGTATCGAGCAGCGTGGCCGGACGGGCTGGGGCCGCCCCGGGCGGAGCGGGGGTCCCGGGAACCGCTGTTGGTGCTGCGGGACTAGCGGCGGTCTCTCCCGGGGCTGCGGGATGGGCTGCAGGACCGGCCCCCCCCGGGGCTGCGGGATGGGCTGCGGGACCGGCCCCCTCCGGGCTGCGGGATGGGCTGCGGGATGGGCTGCGGGACCGGCCCCCGCCGGGGCTGCGGGATGGGCTGCGGGACCGGCCCCCGCCGGGGCTGCGGGATGGGCTGCGGGATGGGCTGCGGGACCGGCCCCCGCCGGGGCTGCGGGGTGGGCTGCTGCGGGATGGGCTGCGGGATGGGCTCTCGCCGGGGCCGCAAGCGCAGGCACGGCTGCCGCGGTGAGGAGGACGGCAGGCTCAGAGCTCGGGGCTGCGGGAGGAGGAGCGGGGGCGACGCCTTCAGCCGGGGTCCCAGCCCCGGCCCACACGGGACCCTCCGGCTGCGCCATGAGGGGCGGACACGGAGCCGCCCCATCACCCCCAGCAATCCCCGCTTTGGCCGCTTCGACCGCAGCGCCCGATTCCACCGCGGAAGGGGAGAACCGGGAGCCGGGGATGTACCGTCAGGGAACGGGCAAATTAAAGAGGAACGAGTCGGTCTCTGCTGCCGACAGGAGGGGAAAGCGCGGCCTTCCCGCTTTTGACCCCTCGAGAGCGAGAGATGAAGCTCAGGATAGTGATTTCACTGACACAGGCACAGAAGCCTCTGATGAGGAATCAGGCAATAGCTCGGGGAGGAGGAGGAGGAGGAGGAAAAACCTGCGGTAGTAATACCGAAAACAAAGGGAAGAAGGGTGCGTGAGGCTCTGTCGGATCCCAGCCCAGTGACTAAGGGAAGACGGGCAGAAAAGGAGAAACCTGCAGTGGAGGCTCCCTTAAGACAGGCTTTGAGCAATCAGGGCCCAGTGTTGGTAAAAGTTCCTTTTTCTCTGGTTGAATTGCAGCAGTGGAAGAATATGGTCGGTGCGTACCGAGATGACCCTGGCAGAATGGCTAGATATGTGAAAATAGCAATAAAATCACAAGATCCAGATTGGTGTGACCTGGAAGTAATGATGGATACGTTGCTCGATCCCATAGAGAAGGAAATGGTTAAGCGAGCGGCCCGGGCCCTGATTGAAGTGCTGATAACATCTGGACAAATTCAAAGGCAGCTCGAGGATATATTCCCCTCAGAGGACCCCAAATGGGACCCCAATTTACCAAAAGAAAGGGAAGCACTGAAACGCTATCAGGACTTG